GGCACTGCCCCATGTCTGAGTTTCATTCAAAGTCAGACTGATACCTATTTATTGCGAGCCTATCCCGAGGGTACTTAGCATGGTGCCACCAAGTGCTAACTTTGACTTACTGCCCAAGTATGCCACTCACTCCTAGCTCCTTCTGTGCAGGTACCGTGGCATTCAACAAATTATTATAAACTTTGCCTCTCAAAGGAATACTTCTCCACTCCTAACGGGAAGTCTTTCAGTCTTCCCGGGAACACTCGGCCACACAACCTGGCTCTTTGGCTATTGTTTCTCGGCAAATACAAGTAAGATATAATTCAAAAGCATTTTAATTGGCCATTTCTCATAGAGAATTGGATTCTTAGAAAGGGCAACATAGGAACTGCTCCCTGCAGTAACTCACTTTTAAATATTTTACTTCCTCAAGAAACCATTAACAGAAGTTATCAAAAGGGACCAAAAAAGGGCGTTTTATGCACGTAAGATCAGAAGACGTGACTTCTGTCCACCACACCACACAGACACTTAACTGTTATCTCCAATTCCCGTAATCTTCTGGTTTGTTGCTTTTCAGTTTAAAGAACCAGAGGATGAAAAGCCAAGCGCCTCGGGGCTAACGTCTAGTCCAGCTCACCCAGAGAGGGGAAACACAGGTTTCCCGGCTACAACCACGCGGAAACCTCCCCTAGGCAGAAAAGATTAGTTCTTAAATTTATACACCACCACCCACCCACTCGCACCGTTAGCCTAGGTTAAAGATGGTAAACTCCGAGAGCCCAGACCTCTTGGCTCTGAGGCTCCCAGCTCGGTGGAGGAGGTGCCGCCTCGCAGAGGGACGACCGGGGCCAGCTCTGCGGCAAGAAAACTTGACCTTAAAAAGCGCCGAAGCCCGTCCCAGCGGAGGGCGCGGCCGGAGGTCAGCCCCGCAGCTAATCTCCAAACTGTTAAGACATCCTACCCTACCTGGGCCTCAAGAAGAAGCCACGCCAGCAGCCCATTCCCGCGCCTCCCGCTGCCAGACAGCGTGGCCCGGGCCCGCGGGTAGCGGGCTGCGGAGAAGCTGGCGGGGGAGCGGAAGGGCCGGCGTCGGGACCCAGGCTCCGCAGGTCCCTCGGGGACCACGCCCCTCGGCGCCCCTCACCTGAGAGGGTCTAAGCCCGGAGGACGAGGCTGCGCGCCCCCCGCCCCAGAAAAGAGCGCGTCCGGGAGCCGCGTTCTCACGGCTCGGGGAGAGTCCCAGGGAAACCCTGATGCGGACGCGCCCGGCGACTCCCGGCCCGTCTCTGCTCCGGTAACCTGGGATGCTGGCCTCCCGGCCCCATCTCCCAGGGCACCCTCACGCTGACACGCGCCGCCCTCCCCGCAGCCCGCCGCCCTCTTCTCCAGCGCCGACCTCGGAGAACTTTC